TCTTCTTGTCAACTGATAAAAATTGTAAACGACAGAATGTAGAAATGCAATTTATCGACCTGAAAAATCCAAACAAAGGAAAACATCTGCACCTAAGCCCTTTATTATCTAAAATAAACAATATAGTACTTTGCCAAACAACTTTCCTGCCGTAGTGCACACACTATTTTCATTCTAAATACACTTACATTTAAAATGACCCCCGTATGCTTAGATCATATAAATATTCCATAGAAACAAATGTGTTTTAAAATTGGATTAATTTGTACTTGGTGACAAAATCGCACCGGTCACATTTTAAATCGTGGTCTTTACGACTGTTAGATGTTCTTTAAAACTGGATTTATGTTTGGTAATGAAAGGGCACTGGGCACACTTTAAATCCTTGGTGATATTGTATGTTAATAAATGTTTAGTAGATTTATCATTCTTTGCACTGGACACATTTTAAATTGTTTTTTAGAAGTTTGTGAACGTAGCCCTCAAACGATACATTTTGGGACTTTCGTATATTTGAGAAATATTCAACAAATCTATTTTAACAATGGTGGTGTCTAAATTATTGCCTATCGTTTTCCGAGCATGCATAGCCAGAAAACTGATGAGTTTAACTTCTAACTGTATGAACCGAAAGAACCATAAAAATCATCAAAACATTATCCGGTTCTCAGTAATTTTCTTAAGAGAAGGAACCAGGGAAGGAATTACGGTTTCAGTTGTGATTTGATTTCGGTACTGAAAAAACAAATGCTCCCGTTATGGTTCTCGCATTCTTTTCAGTCCGGTCCAGATCCCTGTTTTATACCAGCACAATAAATTAAAGAATTTCAAGCTTTTGTGATTTCGAAAACACCATCTGAAGTTGCTACTAAACTCCATAAGGGATGCATCGAATGAGAGACTCGCGATTTTACAAAATTATTGGATTCTAACACTGAATCGAGGTTCAGGTATTCATAAATAAATACAAATAAGTCAATGCGCTGTTACGAACTACCTCGCGCCAAAGCGACACACCACACACTCTCATGCGTCGATAAGTGTGGAGCATATGCTCTCATTGACCGTGCTCCTTTTAATTTCTGTCTCACGAGCAAACGCATAAATGACAGTATTCAGGACCCATTAACTACGAGAACGCGAACTGGTATTAGCGGCCGGCCCCACTGACAGAATAATAATAATAGTCTGCTTCTCACAAAACCAGCATTTAAGCACCATCTGCCCTTACTGTCAGCCGTAGTAACTAATTAAAAACCCACCTAAAATCAGAGTAATTTTCTGTGGAACACTTTACTAGCAGCTTGCGTAATTAGAAAACTTAATTCCATTTCCAATTGCAAATAATTGAGAGCCGAAAGCATAGTTTCGCGCGGCTTAATTTTCGTTAATAATAAAGAACATACTCAAATCTGTGACTCCTAATTTTAATTAATTAAGTCCGTCCCGGACCAACGCCCCGATCTGTTGCATTTATTTTATTCATATCAGACCATGGGCAGATTTACATAGGATTATAGTTACTTGCAAATATGATATTTCTAATTTAATTAATTTATCTTAATTGAAAAGAATTTTCCTTGTACTGAATTATTCCTATAGTGGATTCGCACTGAATATAATTAACGAATGCTTCTAACTGCATCTTTCCTCTATCAACGGATATGCTTGACTACTTCCCGAACGCTTTCTTTGCCAGTTAAATATCCATTAATGTGCAAGCGTGCTGGGTTTCTCAAATTTGATTTCTGTTCTGTTTTGAGAAGTATAATTACAGGTAGAAATTGTTCTCTTTCTCGTAGTAACCATCAATTTTTGAATTTCAGGTCACAATTTGCTATTATTTACATTTTGCATTATATTTTGATATCTGTATTTTGAAAGCATGGTGCTCCAAGCTACTGTTTTTTTTTGTGTACCATTATACCTAGTCATTGTTTCTTTATAATATACAGGTGGATATACTATTTTATTAAGTATTTGTTTATGTATTTGTGAGAGAGTAGATTGTCAATATCATGTTGCCCTGTATGACTAGTGACTACTAACCAATTATACCGCGGATAAAGTACCTAATACAGTTCCCCTGTTAGTCTCGTCTCCGCTGCCGGACGGTGTGTAAGCAATACGAGAAAGGGGGCCCTCTTCTGTATAGTTAAATGCCCAACATGTTTGTGTAATAATCGACTTTAACATGAATACTGCTTGTATTCTCACCTGCACTTTTCGTGTTAAATTAATAATTTGTTTACCTGCATTTGACTCAATTACCTGATCTTTTATGTTTGATTTGTGTATTGTGTATTTTTTTGCATGTTGTTGTCATAGTTGATGATTTATTTTTGTATTTGTCTGTGCTATGTCAGGTTTTTTATCCGTATTGATTTTTAGCGTAATTTTGAAAAAAAAAATGCTATTATATTCGTTATTATTATCCCTCTCTTATTTTTGGCCCTCAACAGGCATGCGCCCAATTACAGAGTGGCCCGCATAATGCTATTCTCAATTATGCAATTGCACGAGTTTTTCCCGGGAAACATCGGACACCCACTATGGCTAGCTGGCTGTCCGACTGAGATCTCAGTAATTACATTAGCTGGAGACTTTAATTTTATACAGTTCAGGCTATTTTATGACACAAACAAACGGTACGAACGATCGATCAGAAATTGGTGCACGATCCCTGTATTCTTCCAAACGAGTTTTTAATTGTAGGAAGATATTTGAAAATACGGTTCTTTGAACAAATTTTTGGGTTTAACTTAATACCTCGCTTGTGAACGACGATCAGAATATGTAAGAAAATGTTTACAGGTTCTGAAACGTATTTCCAAATATCTTCCTAAAATTAAAAACTCGAAATTTTACAGATTGTCAAGAAATTGTCCAGGAATCATCATCAAATTTCTAATCAAAGGGGAGATGTCTTTGATCTACCATTACTACATCGGTTAATTCCATCCGCCCGTGTTATAAAAATTAAAGAGCAAATTCAAATTTTGGGGCTTTTGAAGCGACACATTGTTCACCTTCAGTTTATTTGGAACAGATGTTTGTCTTAATACCCTCTACCACCCAATAGATCGAGCAATAGATACTAAATTAAGAAACCAGTTGGGGGGGGGGGGCGAATCTAAGAGAAAGATACGCTCTCTTCATCGCATGAATAATTTACATAAAAAATTTTAAGCATTTGCGTAGCCTATTATATATATGCTCTTTTAAGGTATTTATTTCTTTAGCGAGTTTTTTAATTTAAAAAATATTGCCCATCCGTCCGGGGCCCTTCTGCGGTTTTGAACGAGGTTTTGAACTACGTTGAGAGAAATTTTTACAAATGTGTGCCTCTAGTAGTGCCAAGTGAGTCTTTTGAAATTGCTACCTATACTACAGCCCTCCTCTCGTTATCGAGATTGGTGGGGGGGACTGGTTGTACGAGGTATGTCTATTAGTGTGAAAAAATTAGTGCGAATATCTGGAAATCAGGGTATCGGAGGAGACTATACCCACAGAGGGAGAATTCAATATTGTGGAGTTCTCTGGACTTTATTCCTCTTGTATTATATAAAGTGTATCTCGGCGTGTATTATTTGAATGTGTGTTAGACGACCTTTAAATGTTTATGTATAAACAGTATAACATTTGCATAATTTATGTCAAACCTTGTCTACATTTGCCTCTAATAGTGCTCAATAATTTACTGAGCTATCTTGGTTTGGAGCTCGGTTTGGAGAAATCTCTTGATCTGCACAATGCGCACAATTCATAATTATTGTGTCATTTACTGAAAATTAAAAATGGAAAAGTCAAGAGACCTGAAACGATTACACCACTCGATTAGTCGATTATATTACGAAGAGCCAGTTTTCGATCCAGTTTGAGATAAGTTCTATTGACTAATGAAACGCCTCTAAAACAATCTAATTTGCAAATTGATAGATTTCGGTCTCCTTCGACCTTCTAAAACCTCTAACAGAAAACGATAATATTTTGCCCATTCATAAATTTATATGGTGGCCAAGTACCGCAGTCGTCTTCAGCGAAGCGTTCTAATTATTCTAGTAAATACCACTTTCGGGTTTGAATCCGGAACGACCATGGAGCGTAAAAGCCGGGTTGGGTTTTAAGAAAAACGAAAATGCGACCCGCCTTTGTGCTACGTAAGATGAAACTCGAGAAAGAGATTAGATTTGCTCACAAATTCATTTGGCGCGCGTGCCAAATGTATTAAAAGATTCATTTGGTACATGCAACAATGAGCGATGCGATTCTTTTACAAATAAGGCAGCACCTAAGCTACTGATGAAGATACGAATATTTTATGAATAAGCGGAAGCGCTTCGTCCGACCTAGTTTCTTTTAATTCAGAAGTTTCGAAAATTTGCAGACTGAAGATGCAGGAAATTGTGGAACAATAGGGAAAACTCGGCGTGTGGCTATAGAAATGAAAGGAAAAACAAGATTAAACCATATAGAATGGCAAGGTAGAGTGTTCTATCGATTTGGGAATTTCTGTCGCTATAATTCCATTATATGAAAGCTCACAGCCAATAAAATAGCAAAAAGACGAAGGCTAATCACTTTTTAATTTGTGCCCTTAACTGCGCGAAAATGAAACCTTAAGTTTGTCAAAGGACGGGCCGAAAAAATTTAATTAAACGCGTGAAGTGTTATTGTCATCTCGGCGATTAAAAAGGAAAATCCGATACCGACTTGATAGACTTCCTGTGATCCAGCTTATAGGTCCGTAAACGATCCAGGAAAGCTTTGAATTAGATTGTTAAAACATTAGTTCTCCCAACTCAAATAAACACGAGCGAATTCAGGAAGATTTCACCTATGCGTGAACGAGATCAAAGTAATTATTTAACCTCCACTTCCCCGAGCGCTCAAAAATTTATCTTTTAATTAAAATGGCCCCTCGTATTTAGGGATCATATTGGATAAGAAAAATTTATGTACTAGGGCCGTCTTAATTTAAATACACAAAACTTGCTTACCTCAGTGCTCTTATCTCATCCTGAACATCACTAATTTCGGGACTCTTGAACAGTTTTCGCCTAAGACTATCCTCGATTATTTCAAGATCCTCCTTCCTACGGTCCAGAAGGGCCTTAACCTGTTTGCTGAGAATTTGCAGTTCCTCCTCGAATTCACTTTTTCCGTGCGTAAAATTTAAGCACAAGCTCACCACGAGCAACACGCTCAATCGAAACCACCCCCGTTTGCCGAACATGCTTGTCTGAAACGCCGGGTTATTACTGAATTTCGAAACGCTATCAAATTGCTTTATACGAGCGGTAGCCTGCACACGCAAGCGCCAGTTAGACCAGGTGGTTTACTTTAAGGTAGGTATACAAATTTCAATTCTGGTTTCTTTGTAACTGCCGTCGTCCACAAATATATAACGTTACCGAAGACTTTAGCGGTAGATTTCGATCAATTTTGGTTAACACAGCGCGAATGAAGTAGAGTGGTGGACCCTTCTTTCAAAAAAGAAAAGGTTCTGATGAATTTCTCCTACAAGGTAGACATATTTTCACCTGCTTGACAGATGTTTTTCAACTTGCATTCGTACGTAATCCGTATTATTTTATCGATTTTAGAAATAACCCTTCTAATTTTTTTACCTATTAACGCGAACGCGAAGCGAGAGTAATTATTCCACCCTATCTATCATAATGAAGGGTTCATATTTCGAATATTACAACGAAATTGTGCGTTTCCGTCAGAATTTATTTGAAAAATCGATGCGACAAAACGTTATAGGTGTATTTAACATATAAAAAGGATTCGCGCGCTTTAAGCGGTGAAAAGTTATTTGTTTGTAAATAGGCATCAAATCTAAAATGTATGTTTACACATCTTCATTGGGGGAAAATGTGTTTGAAGTTTTCTGTCAAAAGAAACTCGAGCATTTAGTAATAAGGCATTGTACACTTTTATCTTCCTCTAAAAAAAGGCAAAACGAAGAGATCGGTAGTTATGTTGGTCATTGGAAGCACTAAAATAAGTGGACATCCGTGAGATAGAATCGAATCAGTTCCCCAGAACTCGCACTAATTCTGTTTTTTTGGTCCAGATCAAGGTCATGCTTTCTGGAACTACGCTTTTCCTGTTGACCAATTATGGCCACTGAATCGCCTACACTTAGGGCAAATAAGTGACCATCGCCCACCTAACACTTTACACAAATTTGCAATCGAAAATGGTCACATACCTTTTACCAGTTTTTTAAGACCTGAATAGGTCATTAAAAATGACAAATTTACCTCTATCCGTGTGACGGCGATATCAACCATAGAGTCGTGCATTGCATTAATGCATCAGGAAGAAAGAATTTTTCTAAATACTCGGCATAATGTCCAAATTAGAGCAAAATTTTTATTCAAAAACCAATTTCGTCGTGGAAATTCCTAAACGCCTTGATGCGCAGGCACCTCATTTATAAAGCGATTTTATATTCGCCCACTGAAGGAAGGAAAAGTCAGTGATCTCCATTTTTCATGCGTTATGGATTTTAACATTTAAATACAAAGTCCCTCAAACCAAAGATTTTTCATTTTAATTTTGAGTTTATTTATTTTATTTATTTATTTTATTTATTGTGCCTCTTGTTCTAGGCCTTCCACAGGCTTGCGCCCAATAACAGAGTGACCCGCCTTGGCTGAAACCCCGCCCACTCAAAAATAAAGGCTAAATAAATAAATAAATAAATAATGCTTTTTAGGTTTAAGTTGTTCTATACTACTCCGGTATTTACCTTACGAATTCGGAAAACTGCAGGAAAACCTAATTCGGAGTAGCCGGCAGAATGCTCGAACCTGACCTGAGAAAATTCGCATCTCTGCCACAGATGAAAAATTCCTACCTCAGCCCAGGTTCGAACACCCGACCTCCGGTTTTGTAGCCGAACGCTCTACCACTGAGCTACAAAGCCAATTAATAATGTGTATCATTTCAAATACATATACCGTGTGAACAAATTAGGCTTACTCCTGTAACTTTAGCCGAATTTTGGCGGTATGAATGTAATTTTTGGTAGATATGGTTCTATTATACGAGTAAGTAAAACGAATTGCACGAAGTAGTATTGTCCAGTTTAACCAGAAGTTGCCCTAAAGTTTAAATGGTACGCCCTGTATATTTTTACAGGTGGGTCGAAAAAGTAAAGGATTTTTATTTTTTAGTCTTGGTAACTATGGCTGGACCAAAGCCACTCTTCATTGCCTTCTACAGGGTTTGTCCGGACTGTAACTACTCTCAGGGAACGAGCGATGCGACCGCTACAACGACCAGTAGCCATCTGACGCTCGTTGGATCTTGTTGCCAGATCCCACCACCGCAATCCTAGTCGGTAAAGTCAACCCTAGCTGGTAAAGAGCGCGCTGTTGCGTACAGTCTCAGGAAAAAACATTCACTTACATTACTTTCCGGACAAACTCTGTATATTTTTTTTTAATTTAAAAATTTTATTTAAACGAAATATTTAAAATTGTGTAACAAAGAAGAAAACAATAATTAACTATAACAAAAAAATTTCGTCGAACTGTTTATTATTAACTGTATATTAGGTAGTAAAAAAAATATAATTACTCGTATATTAATAAAGTCCTCGTGTGAGATCGAATGGACTTCAGCGCATTTTTTTGTGGCAGATCAGTATTTTATTAGCCACTTTTGACTCAACCATCAATAAAAGATCTTGTCGAAGGCTACTACATTCACCTTATCGGTACCCGCTTCCCACTTTCCGCGTGCACCCGCAATTCGCGTTTAAAGTTTTAACTCCACTCTCAGTAAAATCTTGTCGAGGGCTACCATATTCCCTTTGTCGGTATCCACTTCCGATGTCCCGTTCCCTACCAATGCGCGTTTGAAGATTTGACTCCACCATCAGGTAGATCTTGTCGCGGGCTACCACATTTCCTTTTTCGGTGCATACTTATATTACACCCACATTTTGGTGGATTTCGCTAAAAACCTTCCACAAGATAGTACTTAATTTTTGGAGCACTTGTCATTACTCAAGCTTCTATTGGCGACAAGAGAAAGAGAGACAGCGATTCGAGATTTACGAAACGTTAAACCGCGTAACAAAATTCGCAACGGAAGGTGAAAGGCGCCCGAAGTTGACTACCTCTCGAAGACGCGCGCGCGCGCCTTCAAAAGGTCGTTAATTTCACCCCTAGGACAAAAAGCAAAATTCTGCCACGCAGCAGTTTTACGCGTTTACAACATCTTTCCGACGACACCAATTTGAAAAGAATCGGACCAAAACTGTAGTATAAGATAGGAAAAAACCTTCACGTTAGTAAACTACACTCGAGGATGACGCCCACATGTCGCCAACCCGACATCATGTAGCCGTGTCCCTAAGGTTGACCAATTACACGGCCTTGTAGATACACGTACACCCGTTGCCTTTTTACAAGAGTTCTTCTACGCGCCCACATTTGCTGCCACCAGCCAGCCAGCCAGCCAAAGTGAGATTAAAAGCTACTTTTTACAAATAAATTTGCAAAAATGCGCTAAAAATCATACTGTCAAATTTATCCCATGTCAAGGATTTTAAACAAATTTTTCAATCAGGATCACAGTGACTTACACAGATATTTTGAAATTTTCTGTGCGATGTTAATTATTTTTTTTTGCCCAACTGGTAAAAATTGTCGGTTGTGAATCGAACGCCCTCTAGCGGCGAAGCTAGAAATTTGAAAATAATTTCCAGCGTTTTCTCTTGGCCCCTTTTGTTTTTCCCGAAGCTGTGCAATTAACGGTTCCATAGATATGGCCTATGACCCTGTACATAATGTAACGGAAGCCCGCTAGGCCGTTTACGTTTTTAAATTTCGAAATTTATGTATTGTGTAAACAACGTCACTTAGACGACACGACACGAAATAACCACAAAGTTAGTTACTCGCTGGTTTCGAGACGGTTGAGGAGCGTGTACATCTTTTTACGCTAAATTTTCGGGCAGTCAGCCTTATTTGCTTTGTTAAAGACGCAGTTAGTCATTTATATAAAAAAATATGTGCATAATGCAAAAGTTAACCAAAGTTGTGTGAGAATTTTAACACGTGTTGTCCGATTACGGAAAAGTTTCGTCGAGTTGAAAAAGCAAGCAGTTGCACTGCACAGCGAAAAGTTTCGACCGTTCAAACAGCCACCGAAAATGTGTCGCCTTATTCATCAAGCTAGTTTTGATTGTCATCCAATTCAGTGCTATAAAGCAAAAAGATGTTCAGAAGCTGTCAGCAATTGTGTGTGAGTTAAGTGTGCCTAGTATCGCGAACCTGTTACGACCAGATTATTTGAATTATTTTTAAAAAAATAATGTATGATGTCTTATTTTAACTGTCGCCGCCTACGTGCGGGCTATATGCCCAAACAGCTTTTATTTCTTTCAGGGGTTTTGTTTTAATTCCTTCATGTGTTTCGAAATAAATTTTCTTCATTGTCAATCAATAATTAATTGTGTGTTTATTCGAATCCAAAGTGCGACCCAGATAGTTTTCACGTCAGATTTTTCTATCGATGCCCAAGATAAAATTAAAACTCTTTGGAAGATTATCATCAGAACAAACTAACAAGATTTACAGTCTAAATTCAATTAGAAGAAGTTCGTAAAACGTTGTTTGTGTTTGAAATGTAAGTGAAGTTTGATCAGTAATAAATTTGTTATGGGTAGGTTTAAAGTAGTGTTGGGCGAAAGTTCAATTTCTGTGTTTTTAAATTTAGTCACGTGTGTTTACGAACCTAGCAAATTTAGAGTCTCTTCCAATTTGGGCAAACCGAGCGTGTGATCTAAAATTTTGTGTAAAAATTAACGCAATTAAATTTTGTTTGTAAATCTTGTTTTGTGGCCTTTTGAAAACATTTTCACTGACGGATGGTGGGGCGACAAGTCTCATTTTTCTAAGTAGTAGCCCTGTAATTCTGCGTGACATCATCAGCTATCAAAGCATAATGTCTAGCCCACTCACTTTAACAGAAAAAATCTGAAAATCAGGGGGGGGCTGATATTTTTAAAATATCGGGTAATAAATAATTTCTAAATTTTTATCATGTACATATATGGACATTTACGGGGTCGAATTTTCTTTACAAAAAATACGATAAATCGTGTGACTTTTCGCAATGCTCATACAACTTTACATGTGCACCCATACTTTATTTGGGTATTAGGTAGCAAGTTCGTATATATTGTTGTGTAAACTTACGCCATGCGGACGTTTTGTTTGGTACCAGCACCAAAAAAAT